CATTTTCTTTTCTCTTTATAGTTGTTTTCATATAGATCTTGGCCGTATTTTTTCTAGTACTAAATGTTATTTCGATTTCCGTTTGTCCATAGAAACATACAAAGATACTGAAAGGAAAACAATCCTTATTGGAACTCTGGTTATGCTTGGATGCTACCATCAGCTTGGCTTTTATTCTGCAACGATGCTTTGTTAACTGTTGAGGATTAGGAGGAACAGGCTATTTTGTTGTGGTTTTCACAACTGGAGAAATCAATTCTGAGCTATTTTATGAAAAATTAATAGCTAAACTCGGCCCCTGTGAGGAAAGGGCTCTTACTCATCAGGAATACTGTCTCTCTGTTCCCCAATTTAAATTCTTGTTAGTTATCCAGGTGCAACCTCCGCAAGATAATGTGTGGTTGAAAGATTAAAAATTTAGTGAAAAATTGTAACACAAACCGAGGTTATCTGTTATAAAATTTATTAAAGACGTTGAACTGCAGTAGGCAAGTGCGTTCCCCTTTGCAAAAAAACGAGCAAAGAGTCACTGTTTACCTTGACTTTTAATTAATGTTTGGAATGTCGTCTGCTAAGTAGATAAATAACATGCATATCGATGTTGTTAGCTTCCTTTACTCTACCTTCTCTTATCCTTTCAAATTTATTGAAAAAATAACTTGTTTTCAACTTTGTTAAACTTTTTTTTCATCAGATGATTAAATTTATCGCTGATTATAGTATGAAATGAGAGTTACGTGAAGTTGGCGCCTTGCTTGCTCCGCTTCAGATACTTTCATTAATTGGTTTTGTCGACTTCCGTTAGGGCGATTTGGGATAGACTGCTCAATCTGTATTTTTTTCGATTGCTTTTACCAATGATGTTGCTAGCAAGCAAAAACATTAAAAAACTAATTTATTAAAAAAACAGTGTAAAACCCTAAAAACTATTTAGAGGAATTAATGAAAAAAAAAGTAAAAATAAAAACTGGCTGTTATGAAAACTCCTACTTTATAAAGCCGAAGGTACTACACCGGTAAAACCAGTTACAAAACCTTTAAAAGAATGAGGAATATAACCCATGCCATAAATAGTCAGGCCGCACAATGAAAACTCTATTTAGAGAGCTATACAGTTCATTCGGTGACGGAGAACCTTAAACTGGGAACGATATCCGGTATTGGACAATTCTAAACTAATTCTTAACTATAGTGCTTGTACAATGTCTTTTTTTTCTAAGAAGGCGAGTTTTATAAAGGCAAACAAAGTATCAACTTTTCCCCTTTTTTCTCGATTTCCGCTTTTTCGCTTTCTCACCCTTCGATTGACCAATGAGATATCCTTATCAAAAGCCTTTTTGAAAGAAATGTTCTTATAAAAAAAAGGGTGGTGGTAAAAACTTTTTTCGCAGAAATGCACAACCCTATTAATGACTGACAACCAATTAGGATTTGAACGGATGATGAAAAAGTGTTGAAATGTTGCTCGTCTCTGTTCATCTCAAAATGAATATGAAGTCGCACAAAAATCATTGTCTTTAGTCCTTCATCATGACTAAAACTGTTCAGCAAATTTCCTGGTGACTTCGTGTTTTTCTTTTTTCACTCCTCCTAGATAACCATCAATAACCATAACAAAAAAAAAAGCTAGCCACACTGGAACTGAAAAGATGACAGTAATATGTGCTAAGAGCAGAATATTTCTGGACATCAAAAAGAAAAAACTGTTCGTCTTAGAGGAATGAATGATGAGGCAGCAATGAGGCTTTCAAAGAAACTAGAAGACAATATTTAGAAAACATCGAAAATACTGATCACAGGTTTTAATACCGATTTAGTGAACAAGTTTTATTTGACGTAGTTGCCGATGTGCTCTTAATAAGCTTTTTTTAAAAACGCCTTCTTCCTTTTTTTTCGTTTTTTTGCCAAGATTTGCTTCACTGTCAAAGTTTGTAAAAGAACTTTTTTTACTCATGGAGATCACCCTTGATAAAAATTACTCTTCGACCAAAAAACTGACAATTTGATTTCTTTCATGACGGTGTCGTCTTCGGATTACTTGATTAGAGATAACTGAGTTTGGCGAAAGATCTTTGAAGTTTCGCAATAGGGTAATCGATGAAAATTCTTCGGTTGTTTCAATGTCGACATTTCTTTTGGTACTGCAGTATTTTTCCGTTTAGTGAAGGAAAGCAACGTACTTTGGTTGCATGAAACAAGTGTTTGTAAAGATGATTAAGCTAGAAAATTTCTGAGGCAAAAATTTCTTACGATTTGTTCTTGGAGTTTTCAATAGGTTTTGGGTTACGAAAGGAATTTGCGGTTTTAGTCTTTAGCAGCTTTGAACCACATATTTCACAATATAACAAAGCGACATTTATAAAGGGATGGATTTTTTTGCCAATGATTTAAAATTTATTTGACTGATTTGAAGAGTAGTAACCATGACACGGAGTTTAGATTGCTTTTCAGTTTTCAAGGACAACTTAGTGTTTGACTGTTTAAACGTCTGTTTATCTTTCAGCCATTACCTTACGCCTGAAATATGCGGATCGTTAGTTGCAAGTTTCTGGCAAAAATGTCTACTGGTTAGGTAAAAGTTAATTTAAGTTGCAATTTTTGCAGGATTAAGCAGTAATTTTAGTATAGAAGCCTTAAAGTCGAATAATTAAAAAGAAATCATACATTAAGGTTGTTGTATAAATGCTAACAAGGAACAGTTAGTTCAAATTAGGGCAAATGAGTACTTTTAGTAATTCTAATTAGACCAACTGTAATGACGTAACATGAGGGTTTCTAGCAAACCGGTAATAAATTGTATAAACAGCATTAGCGTCGTACTAAGAATTAAACCTGTATAGTTTTTATTATTACCGTATATTATTATTATTATTATTATTATTATTATTATTATTATCATTATCATTATTACTTCTGTTAATATCATCACTATTATTTTTATTATTCTTTGTTGTAAGTTTTCGGGTTTTCGGTTATGCACTTTTTTGCAACAGTTATTTGTAGTGACGACATCACTTAATGAATAATTCACTGCATTAATATGCAAGTTTTTTGCTGCAAATCAGCCTAACAAATACTACTCATTGGTTTTGTTAGCAAAAAAATTTTTGTCTTATTTTTTTTACAAGGAAAAAAAAGCAGAAGAAAACGTGATAATCCTGGTCACAGGAACAAAAGTTCTTTTATGATTTGTAAGTTCTAATTGATATATGAATTGACAATAAAAAAAATTCATGCTTTTTTTTTCTCTTTGCCTTCAATTGATGTCACAACCCAATGTGATTATGATTAAGACGTATTCTCATTAATTTGTCATTTTGTTTTGCTTTAGAATCTTTTTGTCGGTGATAATGAGAGAAATTGAAGAAAGTTATCGAAATAAATAAATATTTTTTTTCCTTATTTAAATTTACATTTTTTATTTGCTCAGTAAGTTCAGACTGAAAAAGAAATGACCGTATTGTTTATGAGTATTTTTTTTGGTGTATACTGAATTTATTTTGCCAAACAGCTGAATAATATAAAATTCAAATGTCTACTTATTTTTCCTTCTGCTAATTTTCTGCACAGTATCAATCTGTTGTTGACAAGTTTTTATGCTAAACAACTATTTACATAAAAAATTTGTTGACTTTTTCCGGCCAAAAAATGCATATAGTTTATAGAAGGAATTAAAACAACGGCACATTAGCATTGCACCTACGCAATATGAAGACGATAGTAAATGTTTTTTGATGACATGGGAGGAGTAATATTTCCGGATGACGGAAATTCCTTTAAACAACTGAAATATTAAGTTAACATTTGCACGATTATTTGCCTTCATTTACCCCTTTTTTTTTGCACTTGTTCCTTATTTGGAAAGGGAAACCGTAGTAGTAATCTAGAAACATAAGTTGTAGGTAATATTTTTAAAGCTTACATTCAAATATTTGCTTTATTTCAATTTTTTGGAGAGATAAAGGCAAAGCAGCTGAAAATGGCATTAATTTTCTTTTCATTCAACATTAGAACTACAGAACTTTTATAGCTGTCGGTGACAGGAGTGTTAAAAGTTTGTTCCCTTCTTGTTTCTTTTCTTCCCCTCTTTCTTGTTCGTTTTTGTCATGTACTTGATGTTCTTAACAGTTGAAAAAAAAATCTGCGCTATTTTCAATACTGGTATTAACAATAAAATGAGATGGTAAATGAATCTGGAGGAAAAAAGGAGAGCAAAAACAGGAAAGAGAAGGAAAGAATATCAATTTTGATAGGTCTTATCTTGTGTTCTTGCTGCTACTGCAGCAGTTATTCATATTGAAATGCCGAATTCTATAATCAAAGCATAAAATTTCACAAACACTGGTAAAAGATTCTGCGTTTGAAAACCGCTAAAGAAAAACTAAATAAATGAAAGACTTCTAAAATTTTCATTTTTCTGTTTTTTTCTTAATTTTTTTTACTTTTTTGTTAATGGCATTAGTGCCGGTTAATTAGGTACAAGTGAAGGAAAAATTCTGAACAGCATTAGTAGCACCATCACAGCTGCGGCAACGACAATGGCAGCAACAGCAGCAGCAGCACAGCAATAGTTGACTGATGGACGACTAGCAGGAAAAAAAAAAGGCTTTTAATCAACAGCATATCAGAACCAATTTCAACCCTCGCTCTCGTTTTTTTTTTTTACTTTTTTTCTGCGACTTCCGACATTTGTATAGGCGTTTACATTCCAATTAAGACAGTGGGCGTTTTTTTTTTCCTTTTCCCAATGTTTTTGCCCATCCCCTTTGATGTTACTTTATATTGTCAAAAATTTTTATATCATCGCTCACCAGTCATCAGTTTTATTGTTACATCTGACTTCGTCCAGTGCTCATCGCCTGCTATCAGTTAACCAAACTTATCGTTCTTGCTGTTGTTGTTGCTACTGCTCTGGTTGTTAGGCTGCAAGTATCAGGAGAAAAAAAAAACAAGTTTTTATTTATTCTTTTTAAGCCTTCAATTTATTCTATATTTTAACTATGAGTTGTACTAAACCAACAACTGCTCATCAACTATCTGTAACAACGGATAATCGGTCTACCATATGTCCACGTTCAAAATCTGCAAACAATTTAGTTGCTGTTCCTAGACAACCACAAGTGAGATATGTCACAGTTGTTCTGTTTGTTCTTTTTTTTTTGGTCATTTGCATTAAATAGGTGATGTAAAACAAATATTTGGCTCCTTTTTTTTTTTAAACTTTCTTTCTATATATCTTTGCAAATAATTTTTTACCGCTTGTTTTAGGCCAACAGATCTGCACTGTTATTGTCTGGCGAAAGTTATAGCAGTGAAATACAACAAGAAATTGCTGAACGATTCATTCGTAAAGCCAAAGCCCAGGGTTGTACAGTAACAATCGCAGACGGTTGTCTTTATATTGACTATAATTTTGTTGGATATATGCCACAGTATAAACCATAGCTAAAAAACTACAATTTAGTCATCGATCTTACTACTAAATTTTTTTGTTCTTTTTTTTGTTCTTTTTTTTTTAACTTTACACTTACTACTACGCTCTTTGTTTCTGTTATACAAATTGAATTTGAGTGTCAAATTTGTGAGCACTTATCTGTGTGGGTGGGTGTATGTCTGTTTGTGTGTGTGTGTGTGTGTTTGTTGACATATGCCAAAAATGTTGCTGCAATGGCAGCTGACATTACAGCAGTGAAATCTTTTTCTTGATACATAGTAGTTTCTTTTAATATTTACTACAACTGGCCAACTGATACCGTTTACAAAAGACGGTAACTGAAACTGCAAAATGTACATTAGTCAAAATTATAGTAATTTTTTGACATGAACTTATGACAGTAATTTTTGCTGTTCTTATCGTTTCTCTTTTTTAAAACAATTTTTTTTAAACTGATAATTTATTTAAATGTTTACAACTATGTAAATATTTTTTTGCTTATTTTATCGAAGTAAATTGAAGTAGAAGAAAAAGAATGAATATCACCAACACTAAAAACAAATAGAAGAAAGAAAAAAAAAAACAGGCAAGACTCTTCACTTGTTGTCTTTCTTTTTTTCTCGTCTTTATCTGTTCCTCGTCACTTTCTTCTTTTTTTTTTCTTTTTTGCTAATAATAAATGGTACTATTCTTCTTTATCAGATATAACAGATTATATATATACAATTGTGTTGTATTTGGTGTGCTGTTGATATTGAATTTGAAGTTGTTGTAATTTTCAATAAATCTTTCAAGGTTTTCGATGATCATTTTTTCTCGGCATTGCTCTGATAACAAATACCAAAGTAATTTTTTGGCTATGGCTACTTTGAAGACAAAAATTCAACTTGACAACTGCTAAGTTGGTTCAAGCGAAAAAAAGGGAAAAACTGACTGTTTGAAGACAACCAAACAGAATTCATCGTTCATATTGATTTGGTTTGATCTTTCCTGAGTTTTTTATTGCAAGAGGCGCAAAGTTTTTTTTTTGTTTTTAAGGGAAAGTGCATCGGTGTTTTTAAAGTTCAAATTTTTTTCTTCGTTTATATGTTTATTTTTTGCTATCCTATCAAGCGCTGTGGCAATTTGCTTGATCTAGCGGAATTTGAGTAGACAGATGCACATATGGAAATGCATGTGGATGTATCTGTGGGGATAAATTCAATCTAAAGTTTAGTGAAAATGTTGCTTTTGGCATGTGGATGTTGGCACAATTACTTCATTTCAGGTCAAAATTTATTCTTTTTTCATCTCCTTTTTTTGTGGTTTAATAAATCATTTGTGAAAACTAAATTAGTTTTCATAATCTTTCGTTTTTTCACATTTTTTTTACATCTTCAACCGCGTTATTCTTTTTTTTTTTGATTGATAGAAAATATAGGGAATAATAATTGATGAAACATGAAACGATGCTATATTTTTAGTCTAAAAAGACAGTTGAAAAATACAGATGCTTTTCAGAATGAACCATCAATTACATAGACAATAGTAATAAATGACAGTAATAATAAAAAAAACAGCTGCAGTAGTAAGATTTCTACCAGTAACGCCAATTCTAATAATGATATTAGAGAGGAGGAAAAAGTTGATATTTATAGCAGTACCAATAATACCATCGACAGTACTAATAAT